ATAATAATAATAATAAGAGTCACAGTGGGGAATCAAACTTCCAACCTCTAGTTCTGCAACCAGAGATCAAAGCCATTGAGCTCTCCAGATTAGCATTAAATTGGCTTCCAGTTTTGTTTTTTGTTTTTTTCCCATCAAACCAGATAACCTTCTACAGAATTTCATCTGCATGTATTTAAATCATCATACTTGAAAATCTGTAAGAGTGTTTTCTTCTTTTGTTCTGAACTCACTCTTGGGACAGGTTTTCATGGCAGTTAACAATGTACTCGGTCACCTCTGAAATCGCTTTGCGATGGACTTTTTCCCATCCCAAAAGTGATCACTTTGCGATAGTCCCTATGGGTTATTTTCACTTTGCGATGATCGCAGGGAAGCGATCATCGCAAAGCCCCCATTTTCGCACAGCTGATTGGCGGTTTCAAAATGGCCGCCGGGGAAAAAAAATGGCCATGTGCTGTGTTTAGGGACAGATTCCTCGCTGTAGTGGCACGGAAGATGGTGGCGGTATGCATGAGCTTCGCTTAAAGGTGAGTTTCAAGCCCATAGGAACGCATTAATCGCGTTTTAATGCGTTTCTATGGGCTTTTTTATTTTGCTTAGCTATGTTATCGCTTAGCAGTGATTTTTTCTGCTCGAATTAACATCGCTAAGAGAGGCACCACTGTATATTTTTCTAGAATGGTTACTGTCCAGTGTAGGCATTGTGCACTCTTGGGACAGGTTTTCATGGCAGTTACAACGTACTCAGTCACCTCTGATGTTTATTCATTCATTTCTCATTACCTACTATCTTATATTTTTGTAGAATGGTTACTGTCCAGTGTAGGCACCGTACTGGTTTTATTTAGAGTCCTTTGAAATGATTTATGTCGTTCACTGAATGTGTGATGACGGACTAGCTGCTGCATGCAATCCTGGTAGCATGTTTTCCTTAGGACACCCGTTCCAGGGGAAACCTGATTTCTCCAGAACTTGCACCACAAGATTAAAATTTTTATGAAAAATAGAATTTTTTCACCTGGTGCTTGTTTCCATTGCAGTTAGTAGTATTGCTTGGATTCTGCTGATAATAAAGCCTCTCCTTTAATCTGTTTTTAAAATAATGTTAACTGGGGGTTCTTTAATGGAGACAAATTTCTCTTTGTCAAACAACTCAAGAAAATGGTTTCTTATGGGAATCCAATGCATAGCGATGGGGAATCCAATGCATGTACATATATCCCCAGTAGGAGCAATGTAAAGGAATGCTTAAGATCACTGTAAGACTGTTGAGACTAAATGTCTTTTTTTCCTACACATTGTAGGTACTGGGAAGACTTTGCTAGCTAAAGCTGTTGCCACTGAATGCAACACAACCTTCTTCAACATCTCAGCATCTACCATTGTCAGCAAATGGAGGGGTGATTCAGAAAAGCTCGTCAAGGTAAAAACGATTTCTGTTTTCCTTGTATAGCAGCAGAATGTAACAATGGCCTACAGAGTTTTCTAATGAGATCGCTAAAGCAGGAGTGGACTCACTTCAATCTTGTGTGGTTTCCTTCCGTACCTTCTTCATTACCTTGGCCAAAAAAAAGTTTTATGTGGCTCCTCTAAACTGTACCCTAAATATTCTATTTACTGGAAAAGCGAACATAGACAACTGTCTCATTACAGCAGTTCCAGCAGCCCTAGGAAGCTTCAGGCTCTCAGAATGAAGTATTATTGACTGCAGAGATTAAAACGGTCATATGATGTCCACGTCAGAATTGTTTTCACAGTTGATTTTGCATGAAGTCCTCTTTAAACAAGAAGACCAATAACACATGGTCCTTTAAGTGATAAAATCTCAGATTTCTAAAGCAGAATTATATTTCTAAAAAATCAACTAGCTCCTCTCTTTTGAGAGCCACAAAATGCCAAGTTTTATGTTTTTCCCCCATTTACAGTATGTTCATAATTCAAAACTGTGTAGCTTCGTCACCTGACCATACTTTTCAAACTGTCATTATTCACATCTTGTTTTGGAACAGGGAAGTAAAAGGAACAAAGTTGTTTTGGTTCAGTCTGACGTTATTTTAAATTCCATTTGTTGAAAAGTCTTATTTAAAAATCTACAAATGGTGCAATAACACAGGAAGGGAAATGTTTTAATCTCTGTTGGCTGCTTTAGGATTTGCCCGGAATCCCTTTCTGGAGTCATTTTCTTCTATCCTATTACTCTCCATGGACTTGGGTAGGATTTAGCAGAAAAGATTTAAAACATAAAGACAGGATTATTTATGTATGTTTGCTCTTTTATAAGCCTTGCAGATTTAAGAAATGATTTGTGCTCTCATGCCAAGGCAGTATTTCAGATAAATTTCTGCAAATGCTCTTGTAGCATGTGTACCTTCTTCTCTCAAAATATAACCAACTAATATCAGCCAGACCCCACAGCAAGAGCAGAACACACGACACATTAACACAGTGTTTTCTTTCTACTAGTCTTTATTATATTTGTATCTTATCTTATATGTGATGGCTGGATAGCTCAGTGGTTTAGGTAGGTTGTGAATTCGATTCCCCACTTGTGCCTCCTGGGAGAAGAGCCAACCTGCGTAGCCTTGGGCAACCTGCACAGTCCCAAGCCCTCCCCCCAAGGAAGGGAAGGGTAGTGTACTTTGGAGGATTCTCTACCTGGAAAACCCTGGAAAAGGGTTGCCATAAGTGAGAATTGGCTTGGCAGCACAAGATTATTATTATTATTTACAGTCCTATGAATTTAAAATAGTTTACTGTAGATCCTGTCTCTGGATAGATCATTGCATGAAACAACAAACATATTGATCACTGCAGTCAGAATTTCATTAAAAGGAATATATAGCATTTGGACATATTGGTTTGTTTCTGTTTGGTGGTTTAAACAATATTGCTTAAGTGGTAAATAAAAGAAACTTCAGTATTTGTCATGAATCTCAATGAAATATATCCAGATGGCTTGAATAAGAGTCAGTTAAAGATTTGGCTCTTTAGGCAGGCCTTCCCTCCAGTCAACACTTGATTTTGTTTCTCTTTAGTTTTCCTTTTTTTTTCTCTTTAGTTTTCCTTTTCCCCCATCTTTAACTTCTAAATTGGTTGATTTAATTATATGATTGTTTTATGATGAATTTTAATGATGTTTTATAACTGCTTGTAAGCCGCCCCGAGTAGACTCTGTCTAGAGGGGCGGGGTAGAAATCGGATAATCAATCAATCAATCAATCAATAATCTGAATAATAGCAAAATAATTGGAACGGTTAGCCAGAATTCTGTTACTGGCATGAGCCCAGTGATATAGATCTCATCAGCACATAGCCTCTCGTTCAGTTCTAGGACCTGGTATGATGCATTTTGACCTCTTAACTGGAGTGATCTTCTGCTGAAATGTGTGTCATTGGGGTCATGATGGCAGGCACAAGTCATAGGATTCTGGCCTGGGTTAAACTTTCGGTGTGATCTACAACAGGAAGAAGCACTTGCAGATGTCAATGGATTTCGACACCGCCAAGAATGTTTATGTTAAACCAAGGATGTTTAACATAAATTATTTTTAGGCGACACCCTCCCAAGCTCATCCAGTGTGGTTTTCTTTGTGTTTCCAACAGTGATCGCTAACAATTTAACAGGAAGCCTTTTTTTCATAAATTCTATTGTAAAGAATAGAAGTTATGGCATGGAGCAGGAATGTATACTTTACATATAGCCATGTTCTCACATCTTCAAGGATCTCTCATAGCAGGAGATAAGAACGATTTTCACATGAACCCCAAAGAGCCGATGGATGATGAAAGGAGACAGTATGGGGCTTGGTGTACTCTTTGTCTAGCTTAGCATGGGCCAGCTTTGCTTGGCATGGAGCAGGAATGTATACTTTACATATAGCCATGTCCTCACGTCTTCTGTTGCAAGGATCTCTCATAGCAGAAGATAAGAACGATTTTCACATGAACCTCAAAGAGCCGATGGATGATTCTTGCACCAGGCTAGCCTTTCCAACTTCACCCAGCTAGAGAGAGGATTTATCGATTCATCTTTTCTTGACCTTTCTCCTCTGAGCAGAGGAATGTATACTTTACATATAGCCATGTCCTCACGTCTTCTGTTGCAAGGATCTCTCATAGCAGAAGATAAGAACGATTTTCACATGAACCTCAAAGAGCCGATGGATGATTCTTGCACCAGGCTAGCCTTTCCAACTTCACCCAGCTAGAGAGAGGATTTATCGATTCATCTTTTCTTGACCTTTCTCCTCTGAGCAGGTGTTGTTCGAGCTTGCCCGCTACCACGCCCCCTCCACAATCTTCCTGGATGAGCTGGAGTCCGTCATGAGTCAACGAGGCACCGCTCCAGGGTAACCTTGTCCTTTTCTTCTCTGAGTTTGTCCCTGCCAAGGGGCTTTGGAGATAAACCCATACATGCTAAGGGTGGCCAAAGCAGCATCGAGATGGAAGAGGATGATCTCCTGCTTCCACATCATTCCTCTGCATGCTGATTGTGTGGAGTGGGCTGCCAAGCTCAAAGTTGAACTGTGCTTAAAGGAGTATGGAGGATGCTGAAAGACTGTGCTCCTTTGCAGCCTCTAAGTGACCCCATGAGCCCAGTGTGGGCCGTTCGTGGTCAACTAGATGTGCTGGACTGTACTTTCCATCAGTTCTCCCTAGCTAGCAGAGCTGATGATGAGAGACAATGGGCACTACGGCTCAACAACCTCTGGAGGGCCTTGTCTTGCCTGGCCAAGCAATGGAGAGCAACTGCAGACAATGGGCACTACGGCTCAACAACCTCTGGAGGGCCTTGTCTTGCCTGGCCAAGCAATGGAGGAAGGAGCAACTGCATTTGGTTTGTAAAGCCAAGTGCGTTGTCCCTGCAGGTCAGTGATTTCAGCTGCTGAACCTCAAGTCCAGTTCTCAAGGCATCTGGTATATAAACCAAACAGCCTGGACGATGCTGTAGCTTCCTCTGAGTTTCCTTGTCTTTATAAAACATATCCTTAAAATAAAGGGACATGGTGGCGCTGCGGGTTAAACCGCAGAAGCCTCTGTGCTGCAAGGTCAGAAGACCAGCCGTCGTAAGATCGAATCCATGTGATGGAGTGAGCTCCCGTCGCTCATCCCAGCTCCTGCCAACCTAGCCGTTCGAAAGCATGTAAAAAAATTGAGTTAATACTGCAACCTAGCCATTTGAAAGCATGTAAAAAAATTGAGTTGATAAATAGGTACCACCACAGTGGGAAAGTCACAGCATTCCGTGTCTAGTCACACGACCATGGAAACTGTCTTCGGACAAAACACTAGCTCTATGGCGTGGAGATGGGGATGAGCACCATGCCCTAGTGTCAGACACGACTGGACTAAATGTCAAGGGGAACCTTTACCTCTCCTTAAAATATCACATAATTCCCCCCCCCCTGAGATCTTTTGGCAAGGGTTTGCTCTCAGTCCCACCCCCATTACAGGCATGGTTTTCTTAGGGCTCAGGAGAGGCCATTTTCTGTGGCCATTTCCAGTTTATGACATTCTCTGGCCCCCTCCTTGCCATGCTTCTGCTGAGAGAGGAAAAGCTTACTTTTCAGCTGGCCTTTGATCTTGGAATGCACCTGTAGGATGGTGGGGGATGCTTTCTTAAGTTGGGTGTTTTAAATTTGTTCAAACTTATTTTAACTAATGATGTTTTTAACCTTTTAAACATTTAATATTAATATTAAGAAGTGTTTCAAAACAGAAGGGTTTGTATTTTTTGTTGCTTTAAAATCTGCTTCGGTAATGTTTTTACCTACCCTGTTTCGCCGAAAATAAGATCTAACCTGAAAATAAGCCCTAGCATGATTTTTTAGGATGCTTGTAATATAAGATCTACCCCAAAAATAAGCCCCAGTTAAGTAAAAGCCCACCCTCTACCCTTGTGTAGCAACCCAAAAACAGAAGGGTTTGTATTTTTTGTTGCTTTAAAATCTGCTTCGGTAATGTTTTTACCTACCCTGTTTCGCCGAAAATAAGATCTAACCTGAAAATAAGCCCTAGCATGATTTTTTAGGATGCTTGTAATATAAGATCTACCCCAAAAATAAGCCCCAGTTAAGTAAAAGCCCACCCTCTACCCTTGTGTAGCAACCCAAAGAAAATGTAAGCCCTAGTTAAGTGAAAACCCGCCCTCTACCCTTGTGTAGCAACCCGAAGAAAATCACATGGCTGTATTTGAATAAATGTAGATTGTTATACATGAAAAAAATTAAACATCCCCTGAAAATACTGTAAGTCCTAATGCGGTTTTCGGAGCAAAAAGTAATATAACACCTTGTCTTATTTTTAGGGAAACACAGTAACATTTTTAATATAATGTGCATTGAATACTTTTTAAATATTTGAATAACTTAACTGTTTTTAACTTTTAAATAGTGTCCTTTTTAATGATGGAATATGCCTTTGGTCCTTTTTTAAGAGAAAGGAGGGGTAATTTTTAAATAAATAAATGGGTATTTTAAATCCATTTAAATAAATAAATAAAGATCGCTTTAAAGCTCTATTGAGCTTTAAAGCATGTATTTTTCAGCTGTTGTACACTGCCTTGTATACCTTCTCTTTGAGAAAGATGGGATGTAAATAAAGTAAAGAAATAAACAAATAAAATTGTTCTTGAGGTTGGTTTGCAGGCCATGGACTGCATTAATGGTAGGAATACTGTACTCATATAATTAGCATGGCAGTTGTGAAAGGTTTAGGTGGTTGGACTGGGCCTTTCCAGACAGAAAAACTTGAAAGCTTCCCTCCCCACCTGAAATGCAAGTCGTAGGTCGAAATCCAGTAGTACGTCACACGTAGAGTAGCCAATTGTATCAGTGGGGATTTGCTGAGTCCACTCCTCTGCACGTTCCACTGATTCAGTGGGCCTTCTCTAGTGGCAACTTACTCATGGATTTCATCCACAGTTGGATAGTACTTCCAAGGACTGGAGCCCAGGGGCAGAGCTGATCAAAATATAGAAAGGATATATCTCATGGATGTGCTGTTGGGGAAGAGATGATGAACATGAGTCAGTGTCTTGATGAGTGACCTCAATCTTGCTGGGCCGACTGGATGAGAAATCCAAACCTGGTAGATTGTCTAACAAGTTGACAGGTGCCATGCCCTTTCCATGTTCAGATGATGCACCCTTTTCCAGATAGGTACCTTAGATTTCGCTCATTAAAGCAGATGCAACATTCGCTTTGGCCAAACCAAAGCACAACATGGAAAGGAACATTTTCAGGCCTTTTCCTCTTTGGGGAAACAATACAGTAGCCCTGAATCTGCATGTTATGTTTGGGTTGCCACCTTTTATCTTTAACAGTATACCATTTGGTCCCTGCTTCTTATCTATAGCCTGGGATGAAATAAGGCAACAGTCATTGTCATTATGTACAGAACGGTGCTCCCAGGGAGGAGGAACTGAACATCAACAGAATATCATTGCCAAGTGTGAAATGCTGCACTATCAACAAGTGAGGCCCGGGGAACAGTCTCTCTGTTTTAAGGCTAGGTATAAATTTACCAACTCTGAGTGCTCCCTGGAAGGACAGATCCTGAAGCTGAGCCTCCAATACTTTGGCCATCTCATGATAAGAGAGGACTCCCTGGAAAAGACCCTGATGTTGGGAAAGTGTGAAGGCAAGAGGAGAAGGGGGACAACAGAGGACGAGATGGCAGGGTGGGTGTCTTGAACAAGCCCATTCCAGGTGTGTGTTTACTTTCTCTCTTGACTGATAGTAGTTTGGCAACTCTTAAAAGAACACATCTTAAAAGACAAGACCCTGAAATTTGGTGGTTTTACATGTTACTGTTGGATTATTTTATTTGTTTATTTTTTATTATTTATATGCCACCTTTCTCCTCATAGGTGACCCAAAGCAGCTCACAACAATTCAAACTATCACAGTTTTAAAAATACAATTAAACATTATTTATTCATTTAAAATATTTTTGACTTGTCTTTCTCCTTAAGAAGGACCCAAGACACCTTACATCATTTAAAGACAGTATTTGAAGCTAAAAACAGTATGTTTACAAATGCTAAAAAGGATCAAATGAATACCACACTAAAAAAAATGGCAATGCTTTAAAGCAATTTTGAAAACATTGTAAAAAAAAACAGGTTTAAAAATCTCTAATAAATACATTTCTGAAAAAAACACTTGTTGCTTAAAAACCTGCCTGAAAAGGAAAGGCCTTTGCATGATGATGGAAGGACAAGAGGGAGGGGGCCCAGCTTGGCTTCTCAGGCAGTACATGCCTGCCATCATCAAGTGATAAATCGTGTACATTTACATTTTCCCAGAGATCCTTTGATTCTAATGACAGCTGTAAAATAATATAGTTGGGAGGACCTCAGAGAGAATGCAAGTAAATACACAGCTGGGAAGCCTCTGCCATATAGCAGTGGATGGTCCCTTGACTCTGAACTCTTTGACAAAAGCCCTTCCCAACCAGGTTTCTTGAAATCCCTCAGAGGGAAGTCTTAAGTGGTGAACCGGGGACTTGCCTCAGCAAAATGTGTCTTTTAATAAACCTCTTCTAGTCTCAGCAAGCAAGCGTATCCCCTCTGATAGAAGAAACCTCTGCTCTTCTGAATGTTGCAAGCAGAGATCAAGAGCTTGCTTGAGAAGCCAGGGCCCTTGATGGTTGATAGTTGAATGGTGGGATAAAAGCTTCTCCTGTTCTGGACTGTGGTACAGTCCTCACGAGTCCTCTCTGTATCGAACAGGATGGGAGAAGCACAAGGTTGCAGGTGTATTCATATAATTCCTTTTCATTTCAATCATCTCTTCCACTGGAGAGCTTCTCATTGTGTTGTGCCACACTGTGAATTGGATAAGATTCTATCACCTACTGAGCTAGTCCCTCCTGCCTTGTATTACTCAGATCCACAAAGCCAGCCTTCTACCAGTGAATGAGGGTGGCTTCTGTCCTCTGTAATTATCCCGGGTGAGCCAACTCGAGGCTTAATAGCCTTCTCACTAAATGCCAGCTCAGGGCTGCTTGTATTAATCTGGATGCAAAGATAAAACTCCAAAATGTGCATTTCCTTGTACTCTTGCGAGTGGATTCGTTGCAGAATTAACTTCTGGGCATTAATCGTCATGAAGTTTGACATAATGCTTCGGGTTTAGCTAATGGAACTGAGCCATGCTTGGAGTTTGGAATGTGGGGATGCAGGAAAGAGATTCACAAAACCCATAACGAGGTTTCCGCCTCTGAAATTCTCCCAGTCGAAACAAAGGCTGTCATCCAGATGCAGCCGTGGGCTAAAACCTCCCCCTTTTCTTGCCTCCCCATACATCTCCAATAGCGGTGAACATGAAGGAAGCCGTCGGATGAAAACCGAATTATTGGTGCAGATGGACGGCCTGGCCCGATCGGATGATCTTGTCTTTGTTTTAGCGGCTTCCAACCTGCCCTGGTAAGAGATCGGGAGAGTACGTTTTGAATACATTTGCGTGAGCCTCTAAACACAGATAAAGATTTTACTTAGTCTCGGAGCAGTAAAAGCCTTGATATTTGCTTAAAGCCTTCAAAGATTAATTGGGAGCTTTTTGCCTTTTTTATATTACTATTATTATTAAGGTTTTGTTGGCTTTTGCAATTCTTCTTGTTTGTGCAGCCGAAGGACATAATCCTTTCTAAAGTCAGCGTGTGCCAGGGCAAGCCAGCTGCTAATATTTAAAAAGGGGACTTGATAGCCAAGTTATTTACTATGGTTAAGCTAAAGAAGGGTTTCAGCAAAGAAACTCATAAGGTGCTTAAAACATTCAGCGCCCAGAAAAGATATCCTCTATAAATAGGGAGGGTTGGATTTTATTGGTATTAAAAGGTGACTCTTAGAAGTTTCAGGATAAAGCCTTTCAGTTGTTCTATTTTTTTTATGCCACATAGATTGCAGAAAGGAGAATGATATGCTAAGGAAAATATATGCCATTAGGTACTGGAGGCGATCTTGTAGAGAAATAGTATATGCAGGAGACTAGAAGCTAAGCTGAGGTCTGGGATGTTGCCCCCCTACTGTAAATTTCATTAATGTGGCCCATTCATACCTGCAACTTGTTGTTTTATAATGCTTTAGAAAATGGAAATATTACTTGGGGAAGGAGGAAACAGCTTTCCAAATCTGCCAGCCAGGATTCTGGGAGTTTTTAATCCAAAGAAGTAATGACTCCAAGCAGCAGCCCTGGAGGGATAAACATGAAAACTCAAATAAGCCCTGACTTAGTTATGCTCAATGGGGAGCTACGATCACACATTTCACTAGGCTTTCGGTTATTCTACGAAGACATCACTTCCAGAAATGATAAGGTTCCACCATATCTCACTCACCGGCCCCTAAACCTTCTGTGCTTCTATTTCCTGGGATGCTCTGTGCTCTTTTCAAGGGAGTTGGATTGCGCCATGCTGCGCCGGCTGGAGAAAAGGATCCTGGTTGATCTCCCGAGTAAAGAGGCCCGTCAGGCCATGATCCAGCACTGGCTTCCCCCGGTGAGCAATAGTGGAGGAGTGGAGCTGAGGACGGAGTTCAACTATGCCTTACTCAGTCAGGTGAGCAGGAAGAAAGTTCTGGTTGGAGGTCACTGAAAAACTGAGAAAGCTGTTCTGGTTGCCGCATTGAATGCACGAGGGGAGTCTTAAGGCACAGCCAGTGACATGGAGTAAATGTTGCTATGCAGGCGCTCATGAAAAGCCAGGTCAAAATGCACCCAGGGAAAGGCCAAAAACTGAACAATGGTTTTGATCTGTATCAGCAAATGAGTTTCAGCAGTTTGCATCTCGGCTGTGAGCATGTCATTTGTAATTTTTATGTGTCTTCCTCGCCCCCTGAGCCCTCAGGCCACTCCAGAACATTTGCCTTTACAACAGGGATGGCTCGCTTTGCCTGAAAATCCTTCCTGGCTTCTGTGCATATTGCTCTTGTTGTTTTCACTTATATACAGCCCCATAGCGCTAGATCACTCTCTGGGCAGTTTGCAACATAATTATGCAAACAACACTTTGCCCCCACCAACGACCATTTTACCAACCTTGGAAGGGTGGAAGGCCGAGTCAACCTTGAGCCAGATACCTGAATCTTATCAGGATCAAATTCAAGTCATGAGCAGAGGCTCGACTGCAGTACTGCTGTCTAACCACTGCACCATAGGGCCTTCTCAAACTGAAGTGCAGAGGAAACGGGGAGGTTGAGGGAGGGTGGCAGATGACATCATCACCCATTAGTAACAAATTCCCAGAGCTTCAGCAGTGTGACCCCTGGGTTCACTGGTCACAGGCATGTTGATATAGAGACACTCCTTCAGATATTTAGGATTGTAGTTGAGGTGTAATGAGTTGCTTTCATTTGAATAGGATAAGGATTAGAAAATACTGTAGTGGGAAAACTACTCTAAAAAGGTCTGCTAAGTTGGCTGGATAGTTCACAGAGTTAGGTCTCTGGCTGAAGAACCAGAGGTTGGGAATTCGGTTCCCCACTGTGCCTCCCAGCAAAGTTCGCTTGTGTAGATCTGGGCAAGCCACAATGGTCCCGGGATGCCCCCAAAAGAAGGGAATGGTAAAGCATTTCCAAGTCCTGTCTGCCTAGAAAACCCTGTAAAGGTTCTTCATAAGTCACAATGGACTTAACAGCACATAATAATGATTAATCCATCTGCTAACCATCTTACGGCACAGTCTTCCTTGTGGTCTCTTCCCGCTTAGTCACTTAATTGCTCCTATTGTGTGAAAGGCTAGCTTTTCGGCAGTCCGCACTAGGAAGTTTTGACAGACTAAAAGTCCCATCTTTCCATTTACATCTCAGGAGATGGATGGATATTCTGGGTCTGACATTAAGTTGGTGTGCAAAGAAGCTGCCATGCGCCCTGTGAGAAAAATCTTCAGTGCCCTTGAGAACCACCAGCCAGGTAAAGTAACCCTTTCCACATCCAAGCTGCATGGACTCTCACTGGATACTCGAAAGAGGGCCACAGGAAGAGGGGCTGACCAGCTAAGCTTTCAGGGGCAAGCGATGAAAGTGGAGACCTCTCTCTAGGCACACACCGGCAGGTGGCCATATTCTGTGTCCTTATGTTGTTGTGATGGAACATCAAGTTATTTTCAGATTCGAGCATCTCATGAATTCATGACCTTCCAGAAGAAGCCTTCCTGTTAGTTGCCCTGCTCAGGTTTTGCAAACTCCAAGACCCTGGCTTTCCTTTCTGGAGTGAATCCATTCCATGTTAGGTCCCTGCTCAGGTTTTGCAAACTCAAGGCCCTGTCTTTCCTTTCTGGAGTGAATCCATTCATCTTTTCTTACCGTCTTCCACTTTTTCTAGCGTTACTGTCTTGTGAATCTTCTCATGTTATGTCTAACAGACAACAGCCTTATTTTTGTCATGTTGTTTTCAAACGAGAGCTCAGGCTTCGGTTGATCTAAAACCCACAGAATTTTTTTTCCTTTTCCTTTTGCCAATCTATGGTACCTGCAAAGGTCTCTTCCAACACCACATTTTGAATTCCTCTTATAGATATATTAATTCTGATGTGCGAAGAACAGTTTTTTCCCTTCGACTTTCCTGTTAAAGGAATCTCTACATTGAAAGGCCAAAACACTTTACCTCCCCAAGTTCTCTCTAAGCATGTTATAAATCCATGCTATGAGACTTTTTTTCCCCTTTTTTTCACATTTTGAATGAATGTGGGAGGTTGGGTGACCTTCAGTAGATCAACAAGGATTTCTTATTCTCACATGAATAGTAGCCAAAAAGCAACTGTGTTCTTCTCAACAAGCAAAGAAAATAAAGCTTTGTATGCGGTTTACCTTTTGGCATTTGAAACAAATTTCTGCATTAGGAATGATTGAGTTCGAACCCTAGGTCTTTTTGCCCAAGGCTCCAGTTGCACCGTCTCAATGCTCCAGTTAAAAAAACCAACATAGATTCCACAAGTCTTGAAGTCTACCCACATTCTGGCATTACTAGTGCCTAGTGGGACTGAATCAATGAAGCCTGACTGTGTTAAGGCAGGTCCCTGTGTTCAGTGATTTATTATTTATTTATTAGATGTATATACATCACCGCCCATCTAGAATGTGTCTATTCTGGGCGGTTTTTTATTTTTATTTATTTTTTTATTTTATTTATTTATTGTCATTGTAAGTATATACACAGTATACCCATACAATGAAATTCACAGACACCCAGAGACCAGACACATGCACACACATAACATTCCCCAAACACTCCCCACCCACTAGAAGTCCCCCACTAAAAATACAAACGTCTACACTGCAGGCCACGTAACACAGTCCAACTATTCACTACTGGTGGTCTTTAAGCTCATTATTAAGTGCAATTATAGCTCTGGGATAAAAACTATTCAGAAAACGTGTGGTCCGAGTCTTAATTGTTCTATATCTTCTGCCAGGCGGCAACAGTTCAAAAAAGTTATAAGCAGGATGGGAAGAGTCTCTCAGGATGCTGTGTGACTTCCTCAGACAGCGGGATGTGAAGATGTCATCCAGGGTTGGTAGCTGGAGCCCGATGATATTCTGGGCAATTTTAATGGTTCTCTGTAGAGCTTTTTTGTCCGCTACAGAGCTACTCCCAAACCATGCCAGAATGCCATAGGTTAGGACACTCTCAATGGTGCTACGATATATATATGATATATATACATATAACATAAAAATAAAATCCAGTGACAGAGGAATGGCAGGAGCGGTGGGGCTGGGAAACTGTCCAGTCCACTGGCGCCCCACCCTCCTGATCCCCCATTGCAGGCACAGCATGCCTTGACTTGGCAGGTCCTTGGCACACGTATTTGTCAGAAAATCCAATGGCTGGATTGGCTGACTGGGAATTTCCGTCTCATTCTTTCCTCTGGGTTCAGAGGGAGCTTACAGCCGTTCCTAAAGGGAAGTCTTCTTGACCTCCAGGAAGCTGACTATCTTCAGTCACTGACTGGTTGATGGACGGAAGAGATTCCATGCAACTAAAAAGATACCAGGGGCATGCTCTGCATAGCCCGTCCCTATTCCCAAGTGCCCTGAGATGGGTAGTGTTTTTTTTTCTGCCAGCCATTTCCTCGGTACCTATTTATTCCCAAAATGTTACACCGTGGGGTGGCCTGGCTGGAGGCCAGAGGTCATTCCCAGGTGTCATTGAGGCTCTGCCTAGATCCCTCTCCAGACATTTAGGGACATCCGTTCCCAGAAATGGCAGCCAGTGTGGTCAGGGGCAGGAAATGGTGTCAGATGGACCCCAGACTATGAAAGCCAAAGGGCTGCCTTAAGAGGCTACTCCTCTCCAGCAGCAGCAACGTCAAGGGGGTGATCGGCCGAGGAGGGTGCTACAGAATAGGCCAAGTGGAACAGCGGGCAGTAAAGAGGGGGGAGGAAGCAGTCTTTGGAGTCCCATGACTTAATTGTCCTCTTGGCGTCATGCTGATCGTAAGGCGATGTTGCGTGGCGTACTCACCCAATTCTGATGATCAAAAGGACAAAAAAATGGATTTTTGAGTTCATGTTTTCTTTCCGTCCAGATAGCGGGAACTTACCTGTGATCCAACTGGACACCGTCACGACAGAAGACTTCCTGGATGTGATCAAGCACACCAAGCCCTCCGCTAAGAACCTGAGCCAAAAATATATCGACTGGCAAAGAGAATTTGAGTCTGTCTGAGCGGGACGAGGGACTGTAAGCCACGCTTTCCTCTCTCTCTCTCCCGCAAGCCCATACGACGTCTATAGGACGTCTGCAAGAGGTGGAACGGTGTTTTTTTTTTTTTAAAGGTCTTTCTTGGGAAACGCAACATCAGGAGAAACTGGGGCCATTCTCAAAAGTGCACGGCAACAGCTGATGAGAGAGGGACGCCAGCTGCTCACAGAGTAACTCTTTGGCCAGTTGTTCTTAATTAATATGCAAGGAAAACAGTTTTGCACTTTATTTGATGCCTGTAACCAAATGGTGGTTTTTAATTTTAAAGCATCCAGCTGACCATCCCACAGATGGACCGTATTAGTCGTTTGTTACTAGTGTTCTTCGTCTTAAGAGAAACGGGGACAATATTGCACCACTGGAAGTGACAAATGCTTAGCTGGGTTTATATAGCAACTGCTTCCCCCTCCAGTTCAAATATCCTCCACCCGATGCAGTAACACATCATTTTTGAACTGGATCGGGGTAATGGGAGTTGCAGTAAAATCCACGCGGAAGGGCACCCAACGACAGGAGACCCTTTTTTATATAGTAGATCGGATACATTTTTTCCTTCCTGGAGAGAGGAGTTTATTAATAAACCCGTGCTTTCAGTAAAGCCACTGCTACAATTACAGTGTAATAATTTAACACTCGGGAGCACAATAAAGTGATCATAAAGGGCTCCATTCTTATAGCTTTGCAAATGGACCAGAAAACCCATTTGCTGTCATTAGAAAAGTTAGTTCCTTTTGGTGCAGTTAACACGTGTGGGAAGGAGAGGGTTTGCTCAAATTGCAATCTCATTTTATAGCTGTACAAACAAAACCCTATAAAAGTGGCGAATGTGTCCCTATGGTTTTTTCTTTCTAAAGGATTCTCTCCCATTTGTGTTTGGAAAGAGGTAGAGTCCCCCACCCGTCCAAAGAAACCATACAACTGTTCTTAATAGGCCCCTTGTGCAGTCTTTCATCGTCTATTGAGTTGCGTTGGACCAAATGTTTCTTTCCAAGCCATACTTGATAACAACCAACACCTAATTAAAACATCTGTAAAATCCTGATTGTTTGAATTTTAACATGAAATCTGAAAAACAACCCTTATGGCTATTAATGGGCTGACAGAATTTCAGCCAAGAACGGAAGGATGACTTTAAATAAAGAACGGTGGGTTATATGGCAACCTGACTGTATTTAAGTTGGATCAGAAGAAAGAAAGAGGCTGCCCGTCATCAGCAGCCTAAAAAGAAGAACTTTTGGTATCTTATGACACAGGTTCTTAATGAGCAGTTTATCCTATTCTTGTTGTATTAATGGGCTGACAGAATTTCAGCCAAGAACGGAAGGATGACTTTAAATAAAGAACGGTGGGTTATATGGCAACCTGACTGTATTTAAGTTGGATCAGAAGAAAGAAAGAGGCTGCCCGTCATCAGCAGCCTAAAAAGAAGAACTTTTGGTATCTTATGACACAGGTTCTTAATGAGCAGTTTATCCTATTCTTGTGCTGTGAAGCTTGTTTTTTAAAGGGGACCATGAGATGGTGTGGGTTGACTGGAAAAAAACAAGCTTTGTTCAAGAGGCTGTTTTGCTCAAGTCGTCGTAATTTAGTCGCTGAGTCGTGTCCGACTCTTTGTGACCCCATGGACCAGAGCATGCCAGGCTCTCCTATCTTCCATCACTTCCCGGAGTTGTGTCAAATTCATTCTGGTGGCTTCGATGACATTGTCCAACCATCTCATCCTCTGTCGTCCCCTTCTCCTCTTGCCTTAGTATCCACACTAATTCAACCCCTTTTGATCAACACATCACCTCTTTGGATGACACCACATTAAGCCCTGAGTACGACCCAGAGGTTGGAGATGGGAGAAACTGGTTTTACGGCTCTATTTACTCAGTCCTCTTGCAGAACTGTTGTGTTGATAACAAGCCATTTGGTCAGTGCACACCCAGTTACAAAATAAGCATGTGATTTTTATTTGTTTATTTATTTATTTAATTTTTCTACTGTTTTAGGCTAAGTTAGAACTAGTAAATAAGAAAGAGAGAAAGGTAAAAGGCGATCGCGTCCCCACTTCCTCCAGTGCTCCTAACCACTCTCTTTGCTTTGAATTTCTAAAAACCCCGAGTGTGTTTCTGCACCGGTCGCTAAGAAGCAAAAAAGAAAAAAGAAAAGGCCCATCAACTGTTGAAACTTTGGCAAGGGACCGAAAACTCTTATTTTAGAAAACAGTATTAACTTCACAAACCGGAACACTTACAAGGATAAGAAGCTGAGCAAACCTGCATTTCCCCCCCCCAGCTTTTTATTGCCTTTCTAAGAAGAGGCGCAATCATCTTTTTGAAAGCCTCGTTCCTCTCCCCTCCCCCTCATTAAAGAAACCCACTTTGAAGGAAGTGGAAGCTCTCACGGCCTGTGGAAGAGACACATCAACATGTCAGTCCCAGGGGTGTATAAATGTCCGAGGAAAAAGTCCCCAACATTTGCTGGCAGCAGGAACAGGGAGGTCATTCATACATGCCTTCACGGTCTTAGCAAAGCTGGAGACCAATCCTGTACTTTGTCTTCTTTTGGCATCAACGGTGATAATGCGGGAGTAGAAGCCTGCGGTGTAGATGTTTGTATTTTTAGGGTGGGGATTTTTAGTGGGTGGGGAGTGTTTGGGGATTTTTTTATGTGTGTGCCTGTGGGTCTGGTCTCTGGGTGTCTGTGTGAATTTCGTTGTATGTATATACTATGTATAGACTTACAATGACAAATTTGCTTGATTTGAGAAAGCTTACAGCACACAAGATGTTAATAGTGCTGATCACAGTTTGTGGGAGTGTGCTGCGCACGTTTCCTACACCCCCCCCTTGTAATAAGAACAGTGTTACAGGTTTTGCAAAAGCATAGGGCTTACCATTCCAGACGACAAGGTGGCGTGTTTGGCATCTCACTGTCAACCCTCCCAACTCCCTCAAACATAAAAATACTAGCATGCCTGTAGGTGACGGCCAGGCTATAGCGCCTTTCTTTTGCATGCAAAGAAGTTATTTTTAGAGATAGAGAAATTGCATATCAGCCAAGGAACAAAGTAAAACAGAAGCAAACAACAACAACCTCAAAACACATAAAAACTTAAAAAATAAAGAAGACAATAATGTTGTGGCACCTTAATATTTTAATGTGAACTTTTGTGGACACGGTCCACTTCCTCAGACATAAGAGTGAGAGTATGTGGCAAATTTTTATACACGGCCCCCAAATAAAGAGAAACGGTCATCCTCTCTCAGTATAAGATGGTGTACTCTAGGCAGAGCAATGGACAACTTCCCTCTATGAAGGACAAGATGGGAGGTTTCAGCTTTTAGCGTTCAAAGGAAACAATCCAGTCTTCTGGGTGGCTTCACAGTAAATGCTGGAGGATATGATCTACAGCCTGGGGGAAACTTTCACAGGTTAAATACGGCGGTGGGTTAATCTTGCCTTCATCAGCCTCTCGATATTTCCCTACGACAAAAGAAAAAACAAGTGTCCCAATGTTTTAAATACATATAAAGTTTTTTCTGGACATCCAGACCTGACCAGCTTGGACCACTGCAAAGCCTCTGTCCATGGTGACTCCCTGCCTTAGAGGAACGCCCACCTGGCCTTCCCTGCACCCCAGCGACATGTATGCACCTCCTAATGTTTTGTTGGTAGATACGGCATGGCTCTGGTGCTATAAATCAGTGGTTCCCAACCTTGGGGAACCCAGGTGTTCTTGGAATTCAACTCCCAGAAGCCTTCACCACCAGCTGTGGTGGTTGGAGTTTCTTGGGAGTTGCAGACCAAGATCGCCCAAGGTTGGGGACCACTGCTATAAACCGTTTTTGGCTTCCCTAAAGAGCGGGAGTAAGGTTGGGGACCACTGCTATAAACAGTTTTTGGCTTCCCTAAAGAGCGGGAGGAGAACCGCTGGGTGATAACTCTAGAGGAACGGATCGTAGTTAAACATTTAGAGAAACTTCCTAAAGGGAAGAACAAATGAACGGGAATAGCCTGCTTTTGGGATGGTGCGCCGACCATGGATGAAGGTGTGTAAGCAAAGACTGAATGGTCAATTATCAGGGATGCTGTGGGTTCATGTTACATGTGAGCTCCTACAGGGAGAAGGATGTGTTCCTCCTAAAATTAATGCTTTTTTATTCCCAATGCAAACCTCTTTTACTCAAGGAAATACTTCCAAAGTAATCTGCGTATCTCCAGTAACTTCAGAAATCTGTTTAAATCTGCTTTCTTCTTTGTTTACTCAGAACAAGTTTTTAAACCCCAAACGCGCATTAAAGGGAGAAAAATATTATTGATGTTTGTGTGCGTGGTGGTTGGAACAAGTGGCCTCGCAAGATTCCTTCCGCTCTATAATTCTGTGAGAAACATCCCCCCACATCCTCCACATCACGAATAAATTAGGTAAACCTCCTCCCCACCCACTCCCCCACTGCCCTGCCTCAAAGGATGAGCCATCTTTCACCAGGCAGGGATTCCGGTCTCCTGATCCCTTTGGTGCCCCTTTTCCTGGTCTACAAAACAGAACACAAAGACTGCTCTGGGTTTCTTCAAGAAGCCAGAGATGGTGAGAAAACACAACTTACCAGTCTTGACTAATATGCCCAGCATGCCAGCATTCTGGGCCCCTCCAACATCATCCCTGCAGTCCTGTAAGGCAGAAAGCAAGGCGAAAAGTTAGCTTGAGTGAGCCGGTGGAGTGAACATACGGCAAGAAGGGGATCCTGAGTGATCCAGGCACTCACATCGCCGATCATGACGGTCTCCTCTGGTGCACAGTTGGTACCACGCAAGGCTTCCAGGAAGAACGTTCGCTCCGGCTTGCCCACCACGGTGGCCTTCATGTCAGTGGCATACTCCAGTCCTGTGACGAATGGCCCGGGGCCAAGAGCTAGGCCATCTTTCCTTTTGTAATATCTCGCTTTGTGGATGGCTATGAGAGGAGCCCCATCAAGAATAAGCCTCAAAGAAAGAATGGGGAAAGAGCCACACGGTTAACAAGAGCACTAGAAAGAGAGAACACAAAAGAATGTGTAAAGGTTAAAAAAACACCAACCACCCCTATAAGACAAGACCACTTCCTCCACCAACAAAAAAATTAAAAAAGGTGACTGACTTCATCATTTAAGGAAGATTAGGAATGTCATCTCCCAAAGACTGCCTTCAACGTCTATTTATTTACCACTTTTACATGGCTGCTCAGCATGTTCGGTGGTGGGCAGCTTACGGAACTGAGAACAAAATACAATAGAGCAGAATACAGGATTTAAAATGTAACAACCCCTGCCCGACCTTTTTGTAAAGCAGAGAAAGTATGAAGGCAAATCCTTAAACGCTTTTTTAAAGAGACACAGGGAAGAAGAAGAAAACTTTTGGTTGTTGCGGGTTTTTCGGGCTCTTTGGCCCTGTTCTGAAGGTGGTTCTTCCTAACGTTTCCTCAGTGGTTAGAAGGTGGCCCCAGACATATCTCTCTAGGGAAGAAAAGAATTCTCTCTAGAGAAGAAGGCACTGCCTACGAGTGGTGAGCTCTTTCGCTTCAGCTGGAGAGAGGGCACACGGAGCCGTTGAAAGAGCCGGTTGCCAAATGGCCCTCTGGGTGGGCCCTGCTCCTTGCCATCATCTCCCCACTGCACTCCAGCTGACCTGCTGATGGCAGGAGGGACAGCTTTTCCAGTCGCCTTAAGCAGCCCCCCAGGAAAGTCCCACCACCTGCAGCTTTAGTTGGTCAAGGCTTGAAACGCTGGGGTTACAGAATGTGAAAATAGTTATGGGGGTGCAGATCGTTCCTGGACTCTTGACTGGGGACTGACTCTTCCAACTGCTGAAAGGAACGAAAGGATGCTGGAAGCCTGGCAATAAATTCAAGTGACAGGAGGGAAAGAACCCAGAAAAACAACCCCAAAGCTTGCGCAGGCCCTGACAAGCTGCACAAGATGCATCAAACCTTTAGAACCCAATATATTACTCATCCGTTGTTAATATTTGCAGGTAAAATGTCATCTGGAATTATTAAAGAATTATTAAAGAATTATTAAAAATTCAGATCGTTCCTGGACTCTTGACTGGGGACGACTCTTTCAACTGCTGTCAGGAATGAAAGGATGCAGGAAGCCTGGCAATAAATTCAAGTGGCAGGAGGGAAAGAACCCGGAAAAATAACCCCAAAGCTTGCGCAGACCCTGACAAGCTGCACAAGATGCTGTGTGTCATCAAACCTTTAGAACCCAATATATTGCTCATCCGTTATTAATTTTTGCAGGTAAAATGTCATCTGGTACTCAGGAATTATTAAAAACACACACACACATTCACAATGTCACTCTCAGCATATGTTTCCTAAAAGAAGGCACTAAACATGCTCCCTTAGAGCAATGTTTCTGCCATCTAGAGACATTAATTGTTGAAATCAAAGTCCACCTCCTTTTCATTACAGTGCTTTAAAATGATGTTGTCCCTCCTTAATTAAATTTTTAAAAAAACAGATGAGAAATGAAGAATGGGTTTTAAGGTAGGATTAGGCATCTAGGATGCATGCCAAAAGTATAAAATCTCTTTCCTTCAAGGCAAGGTAAAGAGGCCTTAGCTAAATAATGCTGCCATACGTTTTCTGAGATACCTAAGAGGACGACCATAAGCTTTGAGAGAACTGTCACCCCACAACGAAGGCACCTTGCCCTCGCTCTTAGGTGTCTCCCAGTACTCTCCCAGTGCTCCTCAACATGGCATCTGCTCAATTGCTCAATACATTCCGTAAAGGTATGTAAAGGCATGGGGATGGGCTCCCATTGACACCGCCATTGATGCCATTTCTTGTCCTTCTTCATCTACTGGAGGCTGGATGTCACAGTGGCTAGTAAGACTCAGGATGCAATTACTCTAGAGAGCGACTGTGTTTTGCAGCCCAGCCGTCTCCCAGGTTCTTCACAAACTAAATCCACCCCGCTCTGCAATTTCACCTTCAATATATCTCGCAGTAGACCGCATTTCTGTTCTCTCAGTCTGAAACTGTACCTCCTCCACCCAACTCTGAAGAGCCATCCAGTGGAGGAACAGTCTTACTCTCAGCCCAAGCGGGCTGCAAACACATGGCTGGTTGGCAGCAACAGGCACTGATGTGAACAACGTCATGCCTCTTGACTTAATGCCAGGTTGGTGCTACACACAGTGCGGAGTAGCGGATAGAGTTAGGACTCTGGAGACCAAGGTTCTCAGCCATAGAAGCTCATGGGTCAGAGCGTGGAACTGGTAAAACCACTCTTTAAACATCTCACTGACCTTGAAAGCCCTATTAGGGTTGGTTCCAACTTGACGGCACATAACTAACTCACATAAGTCTCTTTCTCAAACAGAAACGGGGATGTGGTGGTGCTGTGGGTTAAACCGCAGAAACCTCTGGGCTGCAAGGTCAGAAGACCAGCAGTCGTAAGATCGAATCCACATGACGGAGTGAGCTCCCATCGCTTTGTCCCAACTCCCGTCAACCTAGCCGTTCGAAAGCATGTAAAAATGCGAGTAGATCAATAGGTACCACCTCGGTGGGAAGGTCACGGCGTTCCATGTCTAGTCGCGCTGACCACGTGACCACGGAAACTGTCTTCAGACAAATGCTAGCTCTATGGCTTGGAGACGGGGATGAGCACTGCCCTCTAGAGTTGGACACGACTGGACTAAATGTTAAGGGGAACCTCTACCTTTCCGAAACAGAAACAAGGGTTCCTTCTAGGGAATGGGCAACCACGTGACTCAGCATCCTGAAGGGAATCCCACCTGGCACCACCAAGCATGGTTAGCATCACATGGTTAGCATCGCCCCTGCAATAAACCACCTCCAGATAATCTCTCCATAAAAATTATCTAATGGTGCATCTTTATAACAAGTAGAAGAGTAACTAGTGTCAAGTGCCAAGACCTTCATCCTGACAAGGACGGAGAACAGAGGGAGTGTGACTGCTTTGCATTCTTATAGCCTTGATGCCTTTTCAAGCACAGGTCCAGCTCATCCTTTTCCATCACGAGGCATGAAGTGGTTTTCAAATCCACCTGAAAGGCTCCTATGCCTTTCTCTGCGTACTTTGGTATGTATATCACCCTAACCTAAGGTATGGCTGGTTTTCTGCAAGCAGCCTATTTCAATCTGCATTTTTTTGCAGGCTGTCTAACCTACCATTTTTCTACACATTTTCTTTGATGGGAGAACTGCACGACCAAGCTAAGAGAAGTGCCAAAATCTGAAGGATGATTACAAGATGGTTTGCCGTTGACTTCAGGAAATGCAAATTAGGTGGACTGACATCAAGATGCTAACCCACAATGAATTTCTTCTTCAGACTGTAAATATCAAACATGCTGGTTTGAGGATTTGGGGAGTTATAGTAAAATATATATACATATTCCCAGTTCTCAGCTGAGGGTATAAAGAACACGTCTCTTTGAAAATGATCATCGTATTATTTGAACTTACCGAAACGCCTTGTTCATCATTTGATAATTGAAGTGGTCAGGAGCCAGTCCTATGACTACAGCATTTGGTTCATTGGTATCTATTCCTTTAAAAAAAGGGAGGGGAGGGGAGAAAAGAAAAGATCACAACAAAATCTCAGAGTAACTTAGAGATTAAAAAGCGGATGTCTTTTGAATGAAATGTTCAGAACGGTATCTGTTCAGATAAAGCCTGGAGAGTCTTTGTTTACTGATTTTATAGATTTTCCTCCCTTTACTCTCTTTTCCGAGAGACTTTATTCAAAGTAGCTCAGAAAAACGGATTATACATTCATACGCTATAGGTTCAGAGCAACCCAACAGAAACTTCACAGAAACTCCATGTTTGTCCTCAAAGGACTCTGAACCTTGAAGTATTAATGCTGAATGGCAGAGCAATGATGTAATAAAAATACTACGAGTGCTCCCATTTCGCATTGAAACAAGGCACGTGTTCCTGGGTGCCTTGATCACAGGTATGTGTATCTTGGAAACACTAGTCTACTTGTAAACAACACAGCGGGGGAGCATCTGCCCAGTCCGTGTAATGCTAGTGCTGTGTTATGCCAACAAGATTTTGCCCATTAATTTACAGGATCATCATAAGACAGAAGTGACTTGACAATACGCAACATCCACAGAGCTTTTGTTTCTAATGTTTTAAGAGTTTCCACGCTCTAAACAAATGCAACAGCACCGACTTGCTTGTTCTTCTCCATGTTTATTTTAAATGTACAAACCTTATGAAGCACATAAGCTCTAAGAGAAGGAAAAGCAGAAAAAGAAGAGAACCTAACATGAGACCATTTTGAAGAGACCTTTGTCCAGCAGGCTGAGGCAAAGAGGCAGTCACAAAAGCAGCAAAATCAGGGAGCTGGACAGGGAACAGATTGGATTTGTCTTCAGTGTGGAAGGGATTGTCATTTTCAAATTGGCCTCCTCAGCCACACTAGATGTTCCAAGACCTCTATTCAGAGCAAGTGACCATAGTCACTTGAGACTGAAGGATGCCTAATCTAATATAAAATGGATTGACTCAATAAAGGAACCATGGCCTTTAGATTTGCAAGACCGGAGCAGAACTATTAACAGACAGACATTGGGGAGGTCATTAATTAATGAGGTAGCCATAGGTTAGAACCAATCTGATGGCCCATAGCAAACTGCCAAACCATAGTAATGGTCTTCACTTGGGGATCTTGAAGATCCTTTGAAATATGAGATCACCTATAAATTAAATATATGCAGACTATCAATTAGAAGAACATTCACTTTTCTCCCATCCCATTCTGGAATGTGATTTCCCAAAAGTAGTACAGCGACTTAGTTAAGCAAGTGCAAGGCCCAAGGAGCCTCCTGGCACAGTGGTTAGCACTGCAGCCAAAACTGCTCATGATCTGGGTTCAGTCCCAAGTAACCAGCTAGAGGTTCACTCAGCCTCCCTTCCCTCCAAAGTCAGTAAACTGAATACCCAGCTTGCTGGGGGGGGGGCAATGTTTAGCATGCACAATTAACTTGTAAACCACCCAGAGAGTGTTTTAAGTGTTATTGGGGGTATATACGCAATATGCTTAGCTCCCCCCCCCTTTTTGCCCACTAGTACTGTAGAAGTCCAGGTTTCCACCTGCCTATTCAACTCAGTGATTTAAATTCACAGTTACAGGTCCCAGTATTTCTAACTGGTGGAAGAAAAGCCGTAGTAGCTTTTACTTCAAAGGGAAGCAACTTACCAGTGGCTGTGCTAGAGAATTCAACTGTTGTAGTGGGGGAAAAAATAACTTTCCTAAGCCAAAGGGACAACATGAGATGGCTCCACAAAGCCTTTTAAATGTGCAGAAATGGGAGATATTCTGGTGCGGGTTTTATGTATTTATTTTATTTATTTTGCCGCATTTGCTGGGAGCATCTGGGTCCATTAACCAAAGAATGGCTTATGTTCATCCAGCTGTGAGGAATCTTAAATGAAGATTATCGAAGAATAATTCCATATTAGTTAGTAACAGGAGCTTAAGCATCTTTCATCATACTTAAACTACTGATAAAACTGGAGAGGAAAAACTATAGATGGAGGGATAGGAAAGTCATGATGACCACTGGAATCAGCAGCAGGACTGAGGCAACGATAGAAAACCAACTGATTTAATGACATTTCTAAAGCTCTGAGATGAATCACAAACTCCACAGCCTAGGGGTATATTGGTAGTCAATATGGGGTCTCTTTTCCAAAGCACAAAGCATAGCTGGACATAAGCGCATGCCAACCCCCCATGAATCTGGATCTGCACCCATGAGATTATTGTTCCTCGACAACCACAGACTTCAAACTCAGCTTTAGGCAGGAGGCAAAAGCAGAAGAATGAAGAGATCCTCAATTAACTTTTAAATAAATCCAACAAAACACTATAACCATCTCATCACAGACATATAAGGTTTATAGATCGCATCGATTTTCATCAGAATGATACAAACAGTCTCATTAAGGGATTATAATACAATGAGGGTTTGTGGGCTCTACCTTAATTGAAATCTGCAGCACAGAACATTAATTCCGTTTAAAGCACTGTAATGGTCTGTTGGAATTTGTAAAGCCCTCCCGTTTCTTGCAGAGGACACAACTCTTGATGTTCCCAACATTACTTTAATCTTATTTTATTTGGACAACAATTAGCAGCATGGTTCAAATAAGTAACTTTCCCCAGCTCTAACTGTTTTCCAGGACGGCCAATCAGATGCTTATAAGAAGACACCGCCCCATATAAGATTAAAAGATCATGGCCTTCTTCTGCTACTGCTCCCCAGCCAGTGAACATAAGAATCAAGAGTTCTGCCGGAGCAAACCAAAGCCTTAATTAGGCCAGAATTTGGTTCAAAGAGCCTAATTGCATACCAGAAGTAGTTGAGTGCAGAAGCAACATCTTGTTTAGGCCTCTCAGTCAATTACGTATAAATACATCTTGCCTCTGGTACTAGATGGAATCTCTGTCTCCTGACACTCAATATCGCAAATTAATAAACTGCAGTCCTGAATCTGGGCTTCTAGTCACAAACATTTTTAGCATGTATACATTACTGAAACAGCGACGTCTACATTGGCTTGGGCATGTCGTGAGAATGGCTGATGGTCGGATTCCAAAAGATCTCTTGTATGGAGAATTAGTGCAGGGAAATCGCCCCAGAGGGAGACCCCAGCTGTGATACAAGGAGATCTGCAAGTGGGATCTGAAGGCCTTAGGAATGGACCTCAACAGATGGGAAACTTTGACCACTGAGCGTTCAGACTGGAGGCAGGTGTTGCATCACGGCATCTCCCAATTTGAAGAAACCCTTGTCCAGCAGGCCAAGGCAAAGAGGCAGTCACGAAAGCAACAAAATCAGGGAGCTGGACAGGGGACAAATTGCATTTGTCTTCAGTGTGGAAGGGATTGTCACTCTCGAATTGGCCTTCTCAGCCACACTAGATGCTGTTCCAAGTCCTCCATACAGAGCATGTGACCATAGTCACTCGAGACTGAAGGATGCCTAATCTAAGGTCATTTGGGCAGCTTTGTGACCGACTGTCCAATCGAGGGAAGACTGAAACAAGTCACTTCTGTTGCCCTGTTGCTCTCATGCAGTCACACACAGTCATAGCGTCGAAGTCTCTTCAGGTGCCGATGACGATCACTCCCTCCCATCTGCTTTCTCTTAAAAGCTTCCAGGTAAGAGATGGGCCTGAAAGGCTTAACCCAGCGGTTTGGGCTGATTCATCCTTCAGCCAAACAGGTGTTTGGCACTTCCTAGCCCCGCTTCCTCTGGGTGGGGCACCTACTCAAGCTGGGGGGGCTGCCTCTCATTGGACACCCGCCAGAGGAGGCGGGGCTGGGAAGTGTGGAACACCCATTAGGACGAACCAGGACGAACCGCTGGTTCACGCCCATCTCCACTCCCAGGTCTTGGGGAGCCTCGTGGAAAGTGAGGTAGAGGCTGCCTCAAAAGAAAGCCCTTTCAGGCCGCTGACGGAAAATGTCTCTGGTACTTTCTCACGTCAAGATTGTATTGCAGTTGTCCTGTGACAACACTTCTGGTAACAAAAGTAGTAATTAATTTCGTTTTTGTTAATTAGTGACGGTAACGGGAAGAAATCTAGCTCTTCCTCTGGGTTTCTAACACTTTTGATTTTTTCCGATACACCAAGCTTATTCGTAGCCACCTGTGCTCCTTTTTGCATTGTATTGAGACCTAGGAAATTAGAGTAACTATTTTTGCACATGTGCCGAAAGTACTAGAAAGGTCTGGCTTTGAGGACCACTGGCTGGTCAGCTAGATCCCTCAATGCTGCTACAGCTTTTGGTCACACCTGGCTTCATGCACTGTTCGCTGTGTTGGCTTGTGCTGTTTCTTGCTTGGGGCCTGGATTTCTGTCCTTGGGAGGCCCCAAACTCAGTACATATACAGTGGTTCCTTGCTAGACGATGAGAATCCGTTCCACTGAAACTGCTGTTTAGCGAAATCATTGTCTAGTGAAAAGCATTTTCCTATTGGAATGCATTGAAACCTGTTTAATGCGTTCCAATGGGGAAGAATCATCGTTATCTAGCGAAGATCGGCCATAGGAAAGCCGCTTTGCAAAACGCCGATCAGCTGTCTAAATAGCTGTCTTGCGAAGCTCAGGTCCCGAAAACACCTGTTTTGCGAGCATGTAGGGAGCTGTCAAAATCATTGTCTAGCGAAAATTGGATCGCGAAAAGTCAATGTCTAGAGAAAAAACTGTCATGCGGGGTAACTGTCTAGCGAGGCACCACTGTAATTCATCTTTATTATATTCCACCTGCCGTACTTCTTGCGAAGGTTAGCTCGGCTCCCCATCTCTTTTATACCCCTGAATCTTGTTTCCTGTAAATAAACCTTTCTACCTATAAGGCTGTGAGTGTGCTTGATTTCAGATAGCCCTGGAAAATCCAGGATCTTGCTTCACTGTTTAATGGTTTCTGGCCTAAGGCTTATAGGAACAGATGGTGCAAGTCTGGCCTTTGGGTTTTTAGACCCTGGCAAATATCGGGTAAACTCTCAGAACCCCTGACCCCAATTGAGCTGGACAGAAAGGGTGCTGGCTGTATACACTGAAGGGTTGGCGTCAGATCCCGAGGGACCTCTTGGCCTTGCTTGGATGCAAACCCTAAGCAGGCTGAGTTACCTATCTTATTTTCACTGGCATCAAGGTCAGGCTTGGGCTGCAGGACTGTAAGACAGAGAAAGGCTCAGAGATTAATTGAAGCTCCGGCACAGCCAATGGCTGTGGATGATGGGGGGTGTAGTCCAACAACATCTGGAAGGCCACAGGTTCCCCAGTATACCGTATTTTTCGCTCCATAAGACGCACCTTTCCATAAGACGCACCAATTTTTTAGGGAGAAGAAAACAGGAAAATATAATCTGTTTTTTTCGCTCCATAAGACCCACAGACTTTCCACCCCCCCTGTTTTGTGGGGGAAAAGTACGTCTTATGGTGCGAAAAATACGGTAATTTAGTTTCCATTTTAAAAAACTGTGAAAGTGCGTCTTATGATGCGAAAAATACGATAATTTAGTTTCCATTTTAAAAAACTGTACATACTGTATAACTTTATGTACATTTTTAAAATGAAGTCAGTGTAAGATACACAGCCACATTTTTCTCCATTTCATTTATAATGACGTTGTCTGGTGGTTTAGGCTCAGTGGGGAATTTCATGGCTCATTGGGGACTAGAACCTTGATTGCTAAGTCCAATATTTGGCTTAAAACCAGTACCTCTAACTACTACATTCTATAATAAAAGAAATCCCGAAGCACTTTTATACTAGGGGCGTATTCCATGGTTCCTCCTAAATGAATAATTCTCAAGTGGGGGCAATAGGGCCTCTGGGGGCCCCTGGCATATTTGAAGAAGGCCAGAGACTGGAAACAACACATCAAACACCACCTAATAAGGTTTATTGTGTGACTTATACAATCCTGATTCATCCCATATTTCTTTCATACCGTCTTTATGGCCGTGTTCTCCTCCACATACTGAGAAAAGACTGAGAAGGTCTGCCCTAAAACGGAACCTCACCCATCTGCTGTTATCTCACAATGACAAAATGGAGTTGGACGACAATACCTCTGAAATCGCGCAGTGCATTGTCTTCCACGAGCAACAGAGGCCGAAGCTGCTTCTGCTCCACGAGGTTTCGGGCTGCGGTCAGAGACGTGAAGATCTCCTCTTCCTTAATGTCAAATCCAAGCTTCTTCAACCTCTCCAGCAAGTCCTGCTTGCATTCCTTCGTTGTGTTGGTCACAAACCTGATGGTAACAGGAGCCCTGCGCAGCCTTGGCCAAGGCAAGCAGAGACGTCTTTTTAGGACAGGGTCTTCGTGACGTAGCAAAATACTTTTTTTTCATCCTCATGTTCACTTGCACGAGACTAAGGACAAGGGTACGCTGGCGGCCAATTTCACATCTCTAAGACAACTCTTATAACTTTATGGCTGAAATCCACTGGTAAGCTAGAGTAGGCCCATTGACTCGATGGAACTTAACAAATGTGATGACTCACCCAATCCCCACTGATTCAATGGGCCCACTCTAGTTGTGACTTACAACAGCCTGTATGTTCAAAAAAGAGGAAACTTCCAGCAGATATTACTTTCTGTCATAGCATAACCTCCAGGGTTTAAAGCCAAACCTGTGAAATTTTCACTTCAAGAAGAGGCTGCTCAGAATCCTAAGACATCTGAGACTAAAAGGCCAAAATCCTCTAGCACAGTTATAGTAACAGAAAGGGAACGGTATAACTTGCAGCATCAACTTCTTGCTTGGATTCCTGGTCACGTGCCAAGCCATCCAGCTGGCACACAAGGAGAAGTCCAAGCAGGGACTTTTCCATCAGCTGCAATTTGCCCCTGCGGATCATGCCATTTTCCCTCCTCTGGTACAACTACACAAGAATATTTTGGCCAAAGAATCTATCTGTCAGCAACATTAAGAACAACACTTAGCACTTATACACTGTTGTTGTTATCATCATCATATTGGAGACAAGAGAAAAAGTGCCTTTGGTAAGACCAGGTGATGAGTCTGTAGTTTAGGATGTAAACCAGGAATGTTAGTACCTGGATGAGAGAGAACCAGAGAATTACAGGGATCTCTAGCTAGTCATAAGAAAGAATATTACTTGAACTCCTGAAGGGTCATTGCTTCTAGTCAGGGCTGACAAGAGTAGATGTGTCGATGAGCTGCCATAGGAATATGGGAAAGTGGTTTCCTATACAGTGGTGCCTTGACTTACAAACTTAATCCGTTCCAGAAGATGGGTGTAACTTGAAATGGTCATAAGTCGAAGCACCATTTCCCATTGAAATGGACTGGAATACAATTAATCCATTCCGGCCAAAGAAAAACATCACACACAAAAAAAATCACTGCAAGACCCATCGGAAACGTGATTAATCCCTTCCAGCCAAAGGGGGGGGGGGGGGAGAAAAGCAAGCAGAGCATGCAGGACAGATCAGAAATGGGGGAAAAGTGAAGCAAAAAGCAAGTGAAGCATGCAAGACAAATCGGAAATGGGAAAAAGAAATGCAAAAAGCAAGTGAAGCATGCAAGACAAATCGGAAATGGGGGAAAAGCAAAGCAAAAAGCAAACGAAGCATGCAAGACAGATTGGAAACAGGGGAAAGCAAAGCAAAAAGCAAGGGAAGCATGCAAGATAGATCAGAAATGGGGAAAAAGCAATGCAAAAAGCAAGCAAAGCATGCAACACAGATAGGAAATGGGGGGAAAGCAAAGCACCAACAAACAAACAACCCCCCAAGACCCATGGGAAATGAGGGAGATTCCAAAAAACAAACCCCCCAAAACCCATCACATCACAGAAACATAACCCCTCAGCCCAAAACCAAGCCGCAAAACCCACCCAGCTGACCCTGTAGCACAGGCTTCTGCGGTTTAGCTCGCAGCACCACCATGTCCCTAGGCCTCAGCCCAAAACCAAGCTGCAAAACCCACCCAGAAGAGTTTTTAAAAAGCAGAAAGCAGCACCTTACCTTACCAGGCAGTCCCAAGCCTCCCCAAACCCACTCTCTCTAACTGCTGGGGCAAAAGAGCTACAAAGAAGCAGCCTGTTTGCCTACCAAAGGTTAGCAATTTGAATTCCCTGCCTTTTCCCTTGCCTTTTTCTGTTTGTAACTGGAAGCTCCGGCCGCAAGTCGAAGCAAAATTTTGTGGCTGGAGCTAGTCGTAACTCAAAATGGTCGTAAGTTGGGACATTCGTAAGTCGAGGCACCACTGTATTCTTATGGCAGAGCTGAAATGCAAACCATGAAGCTTCCTGATTCATAGCTCTTGGTGTCAATACATGACACCCAGAGACGAGGGACTGTTTTGCTTTCTGAGCTATACTTCTCTGTGGGAGTCTGACAGATGCAGTCCAAACCACAGACGTTTCCAGTCGCTAACTATGTGACGCTGATGTTCATATTGACCAGAGGCAGAATTAGAGTGATATTCAACAGTGTCCTTTAACCAGCGAGTTTGAGAAATGGACACAAAGCAGCCACACAGCATCACAGGCTACTGGGAGTTCTTCCCTATCAGCAATGGGCTTGACTGCACTCATGCTCAAGAGCCAAACTCTGTAATACAAGATTCAATCGTATGTAAGGATATAAACCCTGACCTGTGTGTTCTCATGTTCAAGAATGGAAAAAAAAAACAAGTGTAAGAAGAGGTGAAACCTCTCCTGCAAGAAAGCAAAGCATTTTCTCTCGACGTGGGTGAGAGTTTTCACCGCAAGAATGACTTTTGCACAAATAAATCAAGGCACACAATTTGCACAGAACTACTATTTGTTTTACAAACTTTTAAGAATTAGCAGAACGGGATAGACTCCCCCCCACAGTAATCCAGTCCTTCTGAGTTCGTTGAACATGTACTTTGCACCTCAAAGGGTAAATACACTAATTTCACAAAGAGCTATTATGAGCAAACTGCAGAATAACTGATGGCAAAAAAGATAGAGCCCCCTTTCTCGTTCTCAGTCGGGAAATGAAGAATCCCAAAGGGCTTGTTGACTCCTGACTGAAATACAATGTTGTGTTGAGTGACCCTAAACTGACTAGAATGAGGAATTTAGCACATATTAATTCCATCTTTTAGTGGGACGTGGTGGCGCTGCAGGTTAAACCGCAGAAGCCTCTGGGCTGCAAGGTCAGAAGACCAGCCGTCGTAAGATCGAATCCACGTGACGGAGGGAGCGCCTGTCGCTTGTCCCAGCTCCTGCCAACTTAGCCATTCGAAAGCATGTAAAAATGCAAGTCGATAAATAGGGACCACCTCGGTGGGAAGGTCATGGCGTTCTGTGTCTAGTCGCGCTGGCCATGTGACCGCAGAAACTGTCTTCGGTCAAAACACTGGCTCAACATCTTGGAGACGGGGATGAGCACCACGCCCTAGAGTCAGACACGACTGGACTAAATGTCAAGGGGAACCTTTACCTATTTCCATCTTTTACAAGGTACTTCAGCCCTGCCTGCAAGACTGCCTTTGCCAGCGAGTCAGATATCTTTGTGAAAACTGCACTTTTTAACGGCTGTTTTTCTTCCGAAGTACCTGGAAGGAATGAAGGACCGTTCTTACCTGTTCAGCGCTTCCTGAGCTCCTGGCACAGCCGAGTCCTCTATGTGAAGCGTACCGCTAAGATCCACCAAGACGCTTTTAAGCGCACGGCGTGCTGCCATCTTTCATGCCAAGAGCAAAAGGTGGTGGAGGAAGGGGGGAAAAAATCTTAAATAACTGACCGTTTAGACAACAATGGACAATGTTTTTAAAAAATCGCCCTCTTTCATATTCCATTTGTGCCAACCTGGTAATACTTAAGAGTATTTCCCGCTGTGTTCAATGGGGCCCCTCGGACTGAGAAACAGAACACAACATTAAAAAGAGATACATAATTGATAACATAGCATTTTTTCCCATTCGTTCCATATATGTACAAATTATCATGGGTGTATTTTTCAAATTTCTACAAAAACCAAACAACAAAACCTGGACTGAAATAGAATGTCTAGTTTAATTTAAAAGACAGGCCCTCTCTTAACTCAAACCATACGTCTTGATATGTTACCTGCTACGGGGAAAGTGTGGCGCTCACTAACAGCATTAAAAAGCAATTAAGCCATCCTTTTAATTGCAAGTTCTTTGCCAATCCTTGCAAGCTCAAAATTATTCTGGTTTCGCTAGTGGGGCCTGAGACGCACAGATGGGAAAGGGGCCTGTTGGAGCCACTTTGAAACCACAGAATCAGTAATAGGGCCCCCGTGTCCAATCTTTACACAGCAGGCGTAATGATGCTGAAAATCTGTCCGTCCAGTACTTTGGAGGCCACGCCTCCATAGCATCTCTCGTAGCTGCAGAACAGCCCATCAGAAATTGTCCAGAAATGGAAGAAACGACATTTCAAGTCCTAAAAACGAGCTCCTGTGCTATGATTTATTTTTTTTTGCTCTGCCCTGGTTATAATGAAAAGCAGGATTCTACAGATTTACTCACTTTTTCACTAACAGCAGCTCATACAGTGATTACAGTACTCTGGGAGGAGGGGGGAACACAGGACAATACTTTTGAAACCTAATTCTCACAGATAGGTTAACAAGCCTATTATTGTTGTAAGCCGCCTAGAGTGGTCTTAATCGACTAGATAGGCAGGATATAAATAAATAAATAAATAAATAAATAAATAAATAAATAAATAAATAAATAAATAAATAAATAAATAAATAAGCATAAATAAATACCTAAGGGGTGGTGAGTGCTCCAATGATAGAAGCATTCAAAACAAAGTTGGACAGCCCTTTGTCAGATCTGCTTTGACTTGGATTTCTGCACTGAGCAGGTTGTTAGACTCGATGGCCTTATAGGCCCCTTCCAACTTCATTATTCCAGAATTCTATTATCAACCTTTGACATTTTTGATGACTACAAACTCTGTGATCTTAAGATCTTAAGAAACATTAAGCTTTTATCAGATTTTTCACAAGTAGCTTTTAAGTAGTTTTTAGACCATCAGATGCCAATTGCAGTTTTTTAATCTAATCAGCCCACTTGAGATAAAAGAAACATTCCTCTGCCACAGAGAGACGGCAGCCACTAGGCCTTGTTCCAAGGTTGGAAACACTAGATCCTTTTTCTGTTACCTGCAAAAGAACTTCACTTATCAAGGAAAAATCAACTTATCTCCAGGTAGGTCAAGGTAGTCCATCTGTTATATACTATATAGTGCCGTAACTATCTTTGAACATGTCCTTAGAAGCCTTGGTATTACCTGAGAACAAGATCAAATTTCTCAACCTTGGGGGGTGTTACAGAAATATCCCTGAAGTTGTATCACTGGTGCGTCATGGCCACACAGGCATGTCACTGAGTTGTTGATGCTAAAAAGATTTACATATTAAAATTATGTACCCAAGCAACAAAAATTTGTGCAGTTGGCATGCACTACCAGCTGACTTGACCTCATATTCAAGGACTAGTTCCAGCAACATATGGAAGTGTCTTATAGACCAGATCGGAGTCTAACCGAATACAGTTTGCTCTGTTCTAAGAATACGGAACTGCTGTCTTCAAGACTGCAACTTCCAACTGGGTACACTGGTGAGGGCTGATGAAAGTTCCAGTATCCACCAGTATCCAGCAGGCTTGATGTTTCCCAGCCCTGATTGACTCTTGCTAGGGACTGTTCTCAGTACAGTGGACCCTCTACTTACGGAATTAATCTGTATTGGAATGGTGGCTGCAGGTCGAAAAGTCTGTAGGTTGAGTCTCCATTGACCTACAATGCATTGAAAACCGATTAATACGTAACCAGCAATTTTTATTCCGTTTTTGTTCCATTTTGGTTTTTTTCTGGTCTGTAAGTCGATTCTCCGGCTGCAACTCGAACCTAAATTTTGCAGCCAGAGAAGTCTGTAACTCGAAAAGTCTGTAAGTCGAGCCGTCTGTAAGTCGAGGGTCCACTGTATCCATACAGGCACTTCTGTCTCCCATTTGAGATGCTTTTACTGGAAGTGTCAGAAACTGGGAAATCCAAACATTATGCATGCATAGCTTTCGTATTGAGTTTTGCTGCTTCTACATCGCTGACTGGAAGGAGCCCTGGAGCCACTGATTTGCAGCCCCTGCCATCCTATTTACTGCAGCTCAGAAGAATTTCCTTTCTGGATTCTAATTCTCATGCTCCCCCAAGCCAGCAAGATCAAGTCGTGCTGGCTGGGGATTCTTGGCACTGTAGTGAAAAAAAAAAACCCTTTGAGAACTGCAGACACTCAAGCCGCAAAGACTATCTTATCAAAATCCTAAAATGACATCATATTATGGGCAGAAAATAGAAAGGACGATTTCTCCATTAAAGAAGAAACTGTGTTTTTTTTAAAAAAAACCAAACCTGGGTTTTAATCTTAAAAAGCCTAACATAATGATGACGTGTATATTATATAACTTTAATGTCGACAACAAAGAAATCAAAATTATTTAAAACTCCCTTGGTTCGATTATCAATCTAAATGGAGGGATCAGCCGAGAAATCAGAAGAAGACTAAGAGTTGGAAAGAGAGGTACGAAGGAACTAGGAAAGATTCTCAAGTGTAAAGATGTGGGTGCACAGAGGGTGAGGGCAAGCAAAAATACTTCGAGGGAACCTTGGCCACAGCAAAACAAATCCAAGATCATCCGTACTGTGTTAATCCTGATCCCTGTGTCTAAATAGGAAAGCCGGACAGTGAAAAAAGTTGACAGTAAAAAAAGAACAATTCAATAGGTTCAGTTGGAGAGGAGCTTCACGGATACCATGGGCCACTACAAGCTCAATAACTAAGCTGAGGCTATCGTACGTTGGACTTATCATGAGAAGACAGGACTCAATGGAAAAGATGAAAACGTCAGGAAAAAGGTAGCAAGAAACGTAGAAGACCTACTACAAAATTGATTAATTCAGTAAAGAAATCCATGGATTTTAGTCTGCTAGATCTGATGGTAGTCACGGGACCTTCCGAAGATTATTAATTCATTAGTGTCACCATAATTCAGAAGCCACTTGGTGACATGTAACAGCAACACGGGGGCGCTCAATATAGACATACGTATACACATAATTTGTGATGTTCATACCCCATCTTTTCTCTAAGTGGTTCCAAGTAACCTATATGATTTCCCCTCAAAATTTATCCTCACTACAGCCCTGGTGGAGTAGAGCCTGAATCAAGGTCACCCAGTGAGTTTTATGGCTAGGTAGAGCTTTGAATCCATGTCTCATCCCATCTTATCCAGTTCCACATCTTATCCACTAAATGGATATCTTGTGGGGTGAAGTGGATAGAGTGATGGGCTAGGACTCAGGAGACATGAGTTCAAATCCCTGTTCAGATGTGCAGCTTCATTCTCTCTCTCTCTCTCTCTGCGTTTGTGTGTGTGTTTGTGTGTGTGTGTGATGAAAGTGCTTATTTTGAAAGCCTCGTCAGGGTTGCTGTAAGTCTGTTCTCATTTGACAGCACATAACACAATCACTGCCCAATAAACGCTCTCTAGGAGGCAAAATAGGTTTATTGCAATCCCATATCTGAAAATTTTGCTTTAAAAGGACTCTTCCCCTGCCACAAGTCCCTTGAGATATTTTGATTATAACTCCCATCACCTTCAAACACTGATCATATTAGCTAGGGGCTGGTGAGGGTTGTAGTCCAAAACATCTGGTATTCCCCACATCAAGGAAGGCTGATTTAGCCTGTGCCCTAGTCTGAAGAGTGCCCCCCAATGCCCACTGTATCTCTGAATGAGTCCCTGATCAAGGTGTGTTTCCTGATTGAAAGAAGATGAGGACAGAACACAAATCACACGGGCAACCTCTTCCAAGATCAGTAACTTTTTGACTGGAAAAAAAGAAGTATATTCTACTTTTTCAGTCCTGCATTCAAGTTGCCCAAGGAAGTTGCCGTTAACAATACATGAAATAACCAATTCTTTTAATCTACCAGGTTTTGTACAAAGCAAAATGAAAGGAAGAAAGGATGAGGGGAAGAAACACATTTTTGCACAAGCCAGAGAGATGAGGTCAAAGAATCATCAAGAACTAGGTGGGCAAGGCCTGCTGGAATGGAAAAGTCAATATTCCTGAATGAGGAGTTCTGTCATTTGTCAGTGAAAAAGTCTTTTCCTACATCCCACCCGCTTCTTGCGCTTCAAATAACAGGAGGATACAGAATTTCCCAAAAGAAAAATGCAGTCACGTTCTTCCAGGGACACAGCAGAAATGACCCCATCTCCCAGAAGCGTTCCCAACCTTTTCCACATCACACCTTTTTTAAAAAATTTCCGCACCCAGCCTTTTGAACAAACAAAGAATACCAGTTTTTAAAAAGAAACAAAAAGAATAGGTAAAAGATATTTTTAAATTAATGAGGCCTAAAACGTACCTAATTTATTTACAAAAATCTCAGTCTCCCCTAGAATTCCTTTGTGCTACCCCCTCCAAAAAAAAAGGGCACACTCCTCCCCAGTTTGGAAACCAAGTAGGGATGAATTAGGGATGAATCCAAGGCAGACCAGCAACTCATGCAGAGACAGACTGGTGCACTCCTTGGATGGCTGCCCATTACACCACTCCTGAATCACAGCAAGCCCTTTAGGGAACCAATCACACAGAACACAGTGCAGAAGGGGAACAGAAATCATCCCCCCACTTTAGGCTCCAAATTAGGGTCACATACAGAGACACACCAGGCAGCCTCCCCTGCTCAGTTAATGCCTTTTTACTGCACAAGAGCCTTTCCTACTTTGAGAAACGCAGTTCCCACCACCCCCTTGGAAGAATTACAGCCCCAAAGGCTTCCACATTTTCTCCCCCCCCCCTCCAGCTCACCATCACTGGACATGGAGACAAAGCAACAGCGTTTTATTTCTCACGCACCGCACATTCCCCGCAAAAAGATTTGCCCAAGCTTGTAATTTCCCACTTTCTGACTCAGATGGGCTCGTCCTTCCAGCTTACAGTAACCCACCATGGACTGGCCCAATGTTGAAACGGGGAGGCGGCTTTCCCCCCCTATATCACGCAATTGGTACTACCCTCGCCCAGGGCTAGTACCACGCCTAAGGTCAGACCGTACCATTAGGCGAACCAAAGCAAGGGGCAACCCGTTCCGCGAAGCCGTCGCTAGAGTGACTCGCACAGCCAGAGAGGGGAGGGGTTAGGAAAGCGACGGGCCCCAAGCTCAAAAGGACCCAAGCCTTTGCAGCTGTCCGAGAAAATGCCTGTGGCTTCTGGTTTTGTTTTAATTTCAAAACTGCACAATAATTTTCTTGAGAAGACTGCAGTTCATGTCACCGTAGTTCATGCTATGTCTGTTAACAGGACTGTCAAACACTTGTATTAAAAAAAACAGGCGCTTCCTCAGACACCCTTATTTTATTTTTAACTATTTTATTTTATTTTTAACTAGGGAATGATGTATACCTGTAATTTGCTGTGATTGACTTCATGCAATGAGCTTAGATAAGTCCTCCTACATTTATTTATGTATTTACAACTCTCCCAAGCCAGCAAAGCCTCGTTCTAGAGCAAAAAACCAAAAACGTAACTTTCCCATGTTGTATTCCAGCATGTCAAGGCGACATTATGAAAGTGCAGGAAGCAAATAGTATCACAAAGTGTCCCACTGCAACTTTCTCTTCTGTAGAACAAAATGTGTTCTTGATGAACTTCGCCCTTACGGGGGACAGATACCAGTAAGAGCTGAGGGAGTTTGCAGCGTGAATGCTCTTCTGGAAGCAGGAACTATGGGGCGAATGAGAGACCAGCCACACCCACTGATATTTTGAAATTAGAATAATAAAAGAACCCCGTTTTCCTGAAGATGCTGGCCACAGAGACTGGCAAAACGTTAGAAAGAACAACCTTCACAACAGGGCCAAAGGGCCCGAAAAACCCACAACCATAGATCATTTCTATTTAGCTATGGTGGAATTAATTTTTTTAAAATGGTTTATTGATCAATCTGGTAAGATTAACAAGGTTAGCAAAGCCCTCCTTTTATTAGCAACACAACTTCCTTACTTTTGGTGCTGCACTAAATCAGGCAACTTACTTTGTGCGAAAACCTTGTTGAAAATTGACTAGCAGAATCTTATTGTACATACTGTGAATAGTTGGGGGGGTGGTTTCAAATCTCAGCGACTGTGTTAACAGTGAACACACTCTCACAGTAACTCAGTTTTAGGATCACCAGGCTGAAATATATTCATGAACACTTTTGTACCTCACAAAGAAGCAACTGAGAAGCAAAAGAAAATTCCTTTTTGAAAACTTGGAAGTATTGGCCAGAGGACATTACTGTAACAGTTTTTTAGAATATACTCTTTTATGACTCTTTTATGATGAAGAGGGGTTTGAAAAGAAACATCCTCCACTAGGTTGTGCGAGGCACCACTGTATACTCTTTTATGACTCATAGCTGATGATGAAGAAGAAGGGTTTGAAAAGAAACATCCTCCACTACAGATTTCTGGTACTGCACATGAGAAGCAAGCAAAGTTTTTCAACTGTAATCAATGCTGCAGTACACTGCTCAATAAAAGGAATATGAACAAAGTATGTTAATATCCATTATGCTAACGAAATGTGTATCTCAAGTGCTTGCAAAATCTTGTTGTACCACATGTAACAAGGACAGAACCAGCATGGTCAATGGTCAGAAATATTTGGAGCAGTGCTCCAAAAATGTGGAGCTTCCAACCCTTCTCCTTGTAGCACGAGAATGGAGAATAGGTGCTCCTTCAGATATTGATGAACTGGAACCCAGCAACTTCATCATCAAACCAATGGACCAGTTCACAGACCACCATCTGGCAGGCCACAAACTGCCCAGTTCCAGATTCTCTTGCTTGGTGACCTTCCATGCTTCCCTGGCTTTAAATCCCACCCAAGGGGGAAGGAAGAATGTAATCCGGTCTTAAATACATGAATCTAGGAAGAAATATGTTTCATGGAATATATTTCTTACTGCATTTAAGTAAGATCTGCTGGATCTGCTTTAAACTATCACTCCATTTAATCTCAAATTTACCACTAGAAGACAACTGCCAACAAATTCAACTGCACAATGATTTCTTTGCGTTAAAAAAATATTTCTCAAGTTGCACCATTTCCCCTCAATATTTAAAATGTATCAACCAAAACATGACATACAGTACTCACAGTTCATTTTATATAAACCGTTATTTATACATTATTTTACACTTACAAATCAAAGGAACTTAATACTGTAAAACACTGTAATGAGATGTCTACTTTTTCAACAAAGTTTCTGGAGTATTGTCTTCATCCTAAGGCCTAATTATTCTAAATCTTGCTAAACTGAAGTCACAATGCATAAACCAGTTTTCAAAGCACCTAACTTAAAAATGCCAAAACATCACCGTGCATTTTTAAAAGGCTCATTTACACCAACAGCTCAAACTTCCATTTCTGTGATATTAACAAAGGTACTGGGCCAAGTAGGACCCTACCTTAAAATTATGAGAGCTACATCATTCATCTATTTATTGGTATGTTGACTGTAAGTGAAACAGAATCCAAATTTACACAAACCTTCAATTTTGTACTGTTAGGAAACAGAAACCTGAGCAACAGGAATTTAAGGAAAAGCGCCTTCAAGTAATTATTACAATAGGCTATAACAGGTAACAAATATTTGATGCTACTAAATGAAAAATCTGTTCCACATGTCTAAATTTGTACAGCACTTTTATATTGATTCAGTTTTCTGGTGTAATGAAACAGAGCTGAGTATTAACAAATACAATAAATAGAAATTGTTCTTTATTGAGGCAATGGCGTAGTTCTGACACTCAGTCAGCTTGGATCCCCGTGAGCAAATTGGTCGGCAGTCCGTTTGTTCTAGATACACCACACAGGCAGTTTTGCCAGGAGTCATCTTCTTCAACCAAATAACAAAAGCAACACAATTGTGACAGTGTTAAGTCCAATTAATGGCACTGCAAAGAGAGGGGGGGGGAAAGAAAGATGTTAGTTTCTGGCCAAATGATGAAGAGAACATTTCACTGAAAAAATGCATGACTGGAAAGTACAAGCTTTCTTTCTACACCTTTTGGCAGTCTGATTTCTTTCTTTCTTTAGGGAATGCTGATGTACAGAATAAGCTCAGTAATATACGAATGGGGACCATGTGGCACTGTCATGGGACCACACAACCTGGCATACTAACTGGGACTGACAGCATGTTGCCCAGCTTTGCATTAACGTGTTTTAAGTGGCAATCCACAAAATATTTGAAATCTGCAATCTTTGTTTTAAAAAATCCTTGGTCATGATTTGTCACTGAGCTCTCACTCCCAAAGAATGTCACATATCCCATCACAGTCACTGTATATTTATTTTTGATATCTTGTACTGATGAAACCCTGCAAGCCTGTCTCTTCCTTTCTGTTACATTCCTGGACATCTGTCTCATATATCGAATGCCTTTTTTGTTAGATAGCAAAGAGAAAATTAATGAAAGTGAATAAAATACAACTACAGTGTTAAAAGGCACATTCAAGACTTTGAAATAAATTTTAACACCCCCCAAAAAAGGAGCTTATAAAGAGTCTATATGTTCAGTAATTATAATTACATGCCATCAAGGTAGCTAATGACAAGTCTTTCCAGGATCTTCTAGATATATTCAAATGTAGTTTACCATTCCTTTCTTCTGAGGGAGACCTGGGTCTACGCAGCTTGCCCATGGCCACAAAAGCTGGCTCTATCTGGGAAATACAGTGGGGGACTAAACTCAAAACTTCCAGCTCCACTGCCAGGTATCTAACTCACTGAGCTATCCAGTCAATGTCTATGTATTTAATGACTCTCAAATCAAGTAGGGAAAAGGCATGTGAGTTAGGGAGTCCAAAGATCAGAGAGGAACAATGATCTCCATAACACAATCAGGACATAAGAAGAGCGGCTACAGGAAGCAACATTCAAGGAAAGGATGGACAAATGTGGCCCTCTGTTCTTGGACTGCAATTCCCATAATCTTTCTACACTTGCTATGCTACCTAAAGTAGATGAGACTTGTAACTGAAAAACAGGACGGCCACTAGTAGCTACCCTGGTTCAAAGATTTGTTCATGTGTGTGCTGGCACCACCAAACACATTTCACAAGCACCATCCAGCTTGTGAACAGTAACTCTGTAATTCAGGACAACTGCAATCAATCTGCCAAGCCTTCAACAGTTATAGTTACAGATGGGTGCTTCGTATTCATTTCCCTGGGAAAATGATTATGAACCACGGCAGCTGTCCAATCCCCACCCCCACCCCAGAACTGGCTGGGCTCTATGTGGCGCTCAGCTCCAGCATCACCATCATTGTCCCAATCATGTAAGCAGCTCAGCCGGCCCTTCCCCACCTCCACACGCAGATGACCACTCATCAGCTGAGTACGGAGACTCCCTGTCCCACCTCTGAACCACAGTGGTCAGTTGCATGGGGAAGCAAGGAAGGGCCACCCGGGCTGCTTCCGTGATTGGCACAACAGTGCCAGAAACAAATGTTGCACAGAGACCAGTAAGTGGCCAAGCTGGTTCTGGGGGGCAGGACTGGGAATAAGAAGTGCCCATCTCTGATTATAGCAGTATCACATATCTGATAGAAGGAACACATATAAAGAAAAACACTAACAAGATTTTATTAAAAGCATTATTATTATATTCACTTTACCTCTCATAACTGTCCGTACAGATCGAATAAGGTTCATTAATTGTCCTTTAACTCCCGGATCTTCTCCAAAGCCTCCAATTCCTTGGTCTGTTCCCCAGCCAACTATATAATGCAGAAGTTTTATTTTAGTTAAAATATATAGCCAACGGGACTGATATTTAATGTGTTTGTCAACACATTAAACATACAATCCACCTTTAACATACAATCTACACAGCGTGAGTTGCCAGTGAATTTTTCTTCTTGAAAAAAAGGCAGACAGAAGTGCCATAGGTCTCACATCTTCTTGAACACAGATAGGAAGATTACAAAATATGCACCAAATCCAAAAGGGAAGCAAGTTTAGCTCCAGAAAGGGAAAGTGGAGCATAGGGATAAGTACAGAGACTTTGCAATCCTGATTTGTATTCAGATGGGTGAACACCACCAGCTGGGGCTGGGAAACCCTTGTAAGTTGCTTCCAGTCAGAGCTGAAAACATTGGCCTAGATCAGCTATTCTCAAAAAAAAAATTAGCCACACCCATAAACACAGTATGAAAGAAAGATTGGCTGAATCAAGATTCTATAAGTTGGATGATATATCTTAAAAGGTGATGTGTTTCCAGTCTGTGGCTCCTTTCAAATGTGTCAGAGCCTCCCAGGGAGCCTAAGAGAAAGGGTCTCAGTACAAGGTAGCATCCTGTTTGTGTTTGTGTCGTCCCCCCCCCCCCGAACTTTACTTTTCTTCCTGGATCCCCTCTTTACCACCACCGGTTTTTGTATAAGATTAACTCATTTCTTACACGTTTCTCCATTTCTCTCCCCCCCCCTTTATGTCTTGCCTTTCACACAGAAAGCCTGCACAAGAAAGACCCCCAACTTTACTTTTCCTCCTGGATCCCCTTTTTACCACCACCGGTTTTTGTATAAGATTAACTCATTTCTTACACGTTTCTCTATTTCTCTCCCCACCCCCTTTATGTTTTGCCTTTCATACAGAAAGCCTGCACAAGAAAGACTTTCCCCTCTCTTGTTCCAGGGAAAGGGGATCGATCCGGGGTTCTAGATTTATTGATTTTGTTAGAGTAGGCAGAACTCCAACTCCCATCATCCCCCTTCTCCATGCCCTGGGCTGGTCAGAAGTGAAGCACACACCCCCACCCCTCCAAAAAAAATCAAGGGCGGAGCACCACAGCGGCCTAAACGTTTTCTCAATCCATGGAGGGGGAGGCCTTCCCGAGGCATTCTTGGGACTAAAGCTCCCATCATCCCCACCCAACATGGTCCAGGAAGGCAGGCGAGGTCGTCCGAGCCGCAAGCCACCCTCCAGGTCTTTCTCTGGGGACGACGCACGGCTACAGGTCAGCCTCCAACTGAATTAAAAAAACAAACAAACATCATCCCCATCATCACTCCTACTACTTAAAAGAGCCTGAGGATGGGAGGCGAGCCTTCCCTTTCCACGCGGGCCCACTCACTCCTGCGGAGGAAGCGCTCCTCGTGCAGCACCGCGATGGCGTTGACGAACAGCAGCGCGGCCTGAAGCAACGCGTACAAGGTGAAGGCCATCGCCGCCCCGACCGGCGCCCCAGAGGCCTCTCCCGGCTTCTCCGCGGACGCGAAGCCGCACCGTCAGGGCCGCCGAGGCCTCACCGACGGGCCCTCCATCCCTCCC